CAGCTTCGGCTTTCAGCACGGCTCAGCCGAGCCGAGCCGATGCATATGCATTCGGTTTGGCCGAGCCGCTCGGCCATGATCGGGAGCTGTACGGGCTATTGTGAATAGCCCGTACAGCACCCCTTCGGTTCTACTGAACCGAAGGGGTCCTGGGGCCGAAGCTAGCCAAAGGATCGGCCGAAGCTACGGCCAGATCCTTCGGCAGCTTCGTGAATAGACCCCTATGTTTTGGCTACAGATACACCTTAACTTACAATTAACTCATTGTTAACCTCTAAGCCCCAATTAACTCCTTTTCATCTTTTTTTTTCTTTTACATTTGCATACAAACTTTATAAAATGTGTTTTTAGGCCTTCACTTGTCCTACAAACATAATTTTTGTGTCATGACAAAAATGGATCAAGTTGCAGAGTGTATTTTGCACTTTATATTTATGGTAACCCTATCTATTATAGGCCATACTGCATAAAAAGTTAATATTTTTCTTTTTTTAAATGGAGTTTGTAGTAAGGGCCCATTGACAGTTATGTGTTGTACAACATGCACTAAAACATGCATTTCTGCAACACACCTACATATGTGGTGCATTGTGGTGCCATTAATTGTGATGGCATTCCAAGGCATTGTACAGTAGAATACAATGTACAATGCACTGCAGCGCACCACAACGCATATACCGTGTGTGTTTTGGTGCAATATTTTGCTGAAGAAAAGGTCATGTATGTTTTGTTATCTCTTGTGGTGTGTTGGTAGGACATTCATAAAAAATGGGCTGCCTTAATGCATCATATGTTACCGTGTGCAATAATACGCTAAAAGGCATAGGCAGTATATGCAAACCTTGCATTGTATGGAAAGGTCCATTTTAACTTCTTTTGGCCCAGTCTAAATAGTGCTTGAAAGATTGTAAGTGGCTCTTACGGGATTTTATATGATTTTTCATTTGTTTTGCAGTAGCTGTAATTGTCAGTGCTGGGCTGATGGGTAGGAAGATAAGACTCTCCCTGGTAGGATATAATTGGTATCCTAGAAGTGCATTTCCATATCACTGTAAGATTCGGAGAGTTAATGCCATTGTGTTGGCCTAAATTGCATACTTTTTACAATAAAAATCCACATAAAAGAGCTGGAAAGCTTTCAGTGTAATAACGCCATCCTGCCATAGGTAATTTGTGCATTGTGAATAATATCTGCTGTTTATATCTTCAGAAGAATAATATTACTTTCTTGCGATGTGAGTCCAAAATGAACAGTTTTTAAGCACATTATGATTTCTGTGCTCATAGTGCTGTGCAGTAATACCTGATAAAAGTGAAATCACCAGTTTCTGTTACATGTACCCCTACAGAAAGCAGATTTAGCCGTTGCTGGTCTGACGATTACAGCAGAAAGAGAAAAGGTTATTGACTTCTCCAAGCCATTTATGACCTTAGGAATCAGCATCCTGTACCGTGTTCACATGGTAGGTTCAGTCGTCTTTTCGCCTACAACATTCAGAATATTTTCATTGAGATTATCTTGTGTTTATTTGTGTGTTTCTGAAAACACAATTCCGGCATTGTTTTACTGAATAATATTTTATATATCTTGTTAGTGGAGGTTAGCATAAGGAGACCTTTTTAAAAACCAAAATGGTTTGATCTAAATTGTTTAATAATATAAATCAATTATAATCTACTGTTATCAATTAACCACTTTACATGACCTATAACTACTTTGGAATATTGATGTTATGGCATTTTGTATTGTTTGACAGCAAAACTGAACTCCTGTATAATTACCGTGTAAAATGTTTTCTTTTCAGAATTGCCAATTAATTAAATGTGTTTCATTGCAGGGTAGAAAGCCAGGCTACTTCTCCTTCCTCGATCCATTCTCACCTGGAGTTTGGCTCTTTATGCTTCTTGGCTACCTAGCTGTCAGTTGTGTTTTATTCTTAGTGGCCAGGTAATGTTTAGAGTTGTTACTTTTCCACTGGCACCCAATATGGTTTATGTCACAGCTGCCTCTATCTGGGTGGTTACAACACCAAGGTGCTAACTACCTTGGCTGTTCCCATCTAAATGGGCTTTTACTATTTTTCTGCAGCTGCTATTCAGACTGCATTTTAATTAATGTTAAGTGCAAAAACAGCAGTTAGTCTTTTCTGTAGTCTAATCATAAATATATAGAAACAGATGGGGGAAACAAGAAAAGGAGAGGACTATAACAAGGAAAAGGGCACATATTAAAAAAAGGCCTCGATTCGATTAATCTGTTTTCCACTGGTCTTTCTAACATTTGTTAGCATGTTTGCAGTTGGGGGAATAGCCAGAGGCATAACTATTTGAGAAGTATTAATAAAGCAAATCAGTTAAGTGCCCCCATGTTTCCCCAACTTCCTTCTTAAAGGCAAACCTACTGCTAAGTTTGTGCCAACCTACTACTTTAGTAGTAGTCTAATATACGTTTTCTACTGAAAACACATTAAATGTTTTACAAGTTATTTTTTAAATGGTATTGTTGTTTTAAGGTATTAAGGCATGCATTGAAACTGCACTAACACCACTGCACTTCTAGACTAGTTTACTTGGTCTGCTGTGGCAGTAGCTAAAGTCATGGCCATCACTCAGAACCATGAACAAAGGATGGAAACAGGTACGAGAATTTGGCTCAAGCATCATTTTTTGCAGTGCGGAGGCGCATTGAGTTCAAAGTGTACATGCCAGACACTCCATCCTCAGTGACATTGAATTTACATTGGGGACATTTTTTATTGACATCGTCCATTGATGTAGATCCACATCAGTCACAATGACCCTCCGTGCCTGTCTATGTTCTCCTGCCACTACTCCTTTCATTAATGACAAATCCTGGGCTGGCTGCTGTATGTCTAGAAACCGGCCGGGATGCTGCATGACTTCATTGATCAAATATGGTCAGTGACAGCACCCAGGAACCCACTGGCTGGTCTGGTTATGAACACCACCTGGCTGATTTGTGGCGGTAGTGCTACCACTGCAAAATGACAGGTTTGCAGCTGGCATTTACTTACAAACATCAGCCAGGGGTTCGGGTGGATGACCTGGCCAAATGTGGCCAGTTTTCTCACCCCTTCACTAAACTGCAGACAGACTGGGATCAGGTTGTTCAGCCCAAACCTGTAGCTTATCCTTAAAAGTCAGTTTAGTTAATCTTCCCACGTAGCTGAAGTCTTTAATTTATTTACTTAGTTACCTTTCTCTGCTTCCTTCCCAGTTACAGAACATTCTTTTTGCAAGCTGATGCCCTCAAATGAAGTACTTTTAATTTATCCACACTGAACTTCATTAGCCATGTAGCTTCCCAATCAGTGCATTCACTGTAGGTAAATCTTCCAAGTGTGTGTGTTTTAAATGACAATGATTGATTCACCACCCATGAATGTTTGGTAAAAGTCACATTTGCTGTTTTATATACAAACCCCTAAGTCTAAATGCTCCACAATAAAAATTATACTACTGTCCAAATATTGTGTACCAGTTTCTTCTTATTTTGCTTGTTTAGGCTAACTCCATATGAATGGTACAGTCCCCATCCTTGTGTTCAAGGACGATGCAATCTTTTAATTAATCAGTACTCTCTTGGAAACAGCCTGTGGTTTCCAGTTGGTGGGTTTATGCAGCAGGGATCTACCATTGCACCAAGAGCTTTGTCTACACGATGCGTCAGTGGAGTTTGGTAAGAAGAGAAACATTCTTCAGCTAATGTTTTAACATTGACTGTCTCAGTGGACTGATATAATTTTTCCCATGATGATAATCTTACAAGTCACAATACAGCTCCATACTGGCCAGCACACCCATTATACGTATGGGGGTACCTCTTTCCCCATACTGCAACACGTCTACCCTGCAGACCCTTTTAAGCAATGACAATAAACAATGTGTACTACAGGTTATGCTCTAATTTATTTTGTTGTCTAGCTGTAACTGACCTATAAATATAGATTAACAGCATACAGCTCAATTACTACTCCATTTACCACTGATGATGCTTAAGTAGGACCAAAGAGGGGGTTTTTCAATGTGCATCAATGTGCTAGTGACCTAATCAAAAGGCACCCAGCAAATGTTTTTTTATTGTGCTTGGTAGCTGTGTACATGTCTAAATCATAGCTATCTGCTTTTTCCTGATGCACTTAATATTTTATCTTTCACTGATAATAGGTGTAGATTTGTGCTTGAAAATCTAAGCTGGGTATAAAGCTAAAGTTTCAGACAGAACACTGAATTCGGTGCCACAAAAGACAGAGGAGCACTCGATGCTCATCTGGGTGTGGAATCTACGCTAGAAAGCTGCTGGAACCTAATGTCGAGTAGAGAGCATTTTCTGGCTCTAAAGTGGCCAATTTCTCAGGATGGTGACTACTGTCATTACACACATCAGGGCATGCTTCAGATCAATCATCTAAAGTGTCCCCGAGCACCATCCTGAAGAAGTGGCCACTTTAGAGCTATGAAACATGTAAAAGGTGTACCATTTTATATGTTCACATAAAAATTCTCATTACTAGACAAGCTGCCTCCACTCCATTTATCACGACTGGGCGCCTCTGCAAACTCCGTTCCTTATTTTCTCTCTCCTCTAAAGCACACACAATGTTTGCAAAATGGACCACACCATCTGAACTTCTGCTAGGGAAATGGAAACCAAATAAATGAATTCTCATTCAGGCTTTAACATGTTTATGTAATTTCAAAAATAAATTCAAAAGTCAATATTTTCTGTAGCTTTCATTAAAGGGACATTAAAGTCTAATTTTATTACATATATCTACTGCTAGCAAGGAGTAGATGTAGAACCCAGCTTCTCAAGCGGCCGTGCAGGAGGATGTGTGTGGGCGCATGTGCAGTCCATATCACCGGAGGGGAGAGCTACAGTGAAAGTCAATCCACGCAGCCGAGAGCGTGCACGTCTGACCGTCTCCGTGGGAAAGGAAGACACAGCAGTCAACGCTGGATCAGAGATGGGCACCAGTGCTGGAGGGACTGCTGAAAACTACGGGAAGGAAAAAGAGAGGCATCACTTGAGGTAAGTCCTCGCTTATCCAAAAGTAGAACATGGCAGGGAGTGGTATATAGCTCACAACACAACTACAGAAGCTTGTAGCTGTTTGTTTAACAGATTGACCCAGGTTTTGAGGCTTCTTGTGTGCTCTACAGAAATTGTGTGCAGATATTTGGAGGTGTCTCCTGTGGCATACTAATGCTGGTTTCATAAATCTATATGGCCCACAGGTACACTTTGAGGTAACAACGAAACACACTACTACCTTAGTACACTTTCTGGACAATCAATTTGCTAGGAAACATATAGTTCTAATTCCTCTAGCTGTGCATATCTACATTTAGCTGTGTACAAAGCAAGTGCCATTTTAATATTGGGCTGTTAACGTTAATGCGGAACAATGTCAAATCATTAAATAATCAAAGATTATGATTTTTTTGACAGGTGGGCATTCACCTTGATAATTATTTCTTCATATACAGCAAATCTTGCTGCCTTTCTTACTGTGCAGAGAATGGATGTACCTATTGAGTCGGTGGATGACTTGGCTGATCAGACTACAATTGAGTATGGGACCATACATGGAGGATCCAGCATGACTTTCTTCCAAGTAATTATCCCTATCATGCCAAAAAGCTATACATTAGATGATAAGAGGTCAGCTACATGTAAGATCATTAATTGCTTGCTTGACCATGGCCTCTTTACACTAATGTGGAACATGTTGATTCAAATTTGAAATGAGCTATTTGCCAGATCTCCACAAGATAGATCTCAACTCTCCTGCTTCATTCTCCCCAGTACAAAATATATATATTTTTTAATTATCTGAAAGAATGACACTCCTTAGGAAAGGTAGCAGAAGGAAGGCAGAGATGGAAATTCAGACATAGAGATGTTCCCACTCAAGTTACCAGGATCTATAAACTTACCATCTTGGTGCACCTAAAGGGAAATGTTAATTTTCCCTTTCTTAATAGGCAAAATATCAGGACATATTTATATCAGACTGCATTTCCTGCAAAACTACATTTTCTGTTTTTATTTTCCCAATCTGTTCATTTCTGGCAAGATATATAGTAATTATGCATTACATTTGCAGAAGCATGTCAACTTTGCTTACTGCATTGACAGTGTCTGCTTTTTTTTTAAATTAATAAATTATGTCATTTTACAAAGGAAATCCAACTGTATACAGCAAAAAAATGACCCTCTACACACACATAATTGCTGATAATTGTTCACAGTAATGGGTTGTAATAGGTAATTCATTAGCAATGATTCTGCTACATGGGCTAGAAAATTGCATTTCGCTGACATTCAAGGACCTTGAAGCTTAAGCCAGTGACACACCACCAAAAACTTCCAAGCAGTTGGTTTGTCAGATGTGGTGTTAAAGGGCTCCAATATTATTTTAATACAAGAACTTCCTCTCTATAGGTTACTTAGAAAAACAAAACAGTAGTCAGATTCAATTTATTCACATGCTCCATGCCCCCAAATGTGTATTTATAGACCCTGCCATGCTAACTTATAAACTATAATTCTGCCTTTGTAAGCCTGATATAGTAGCACAATGGAAAGACATGTACTCCTATGGAAAATGAGCTTCAATTTCACCTTCGGAGATTGTGTGTTATCATTTAAACATAGTGCACAGGTAATGCATACAGGAATCCAAAATATAAATATAAAACATAAACACAGCATGGCTCTTGGATACTACACCATATGCAGCATGGATTCTGCTGCATATGGTTTAGTATTTTCACAACATGTTAGAGCAATTAAACACAGATTTGGCCTGGCTAAATCCAGTCAATTTGCAGTGAAATGTAAATCATCAATGCAAATCAACACAGTATTACTGTTCTTTATGTACAAAAAAGAGAAGATTCAAAAATTAAGTGAAAAATGTACATAGGCTAATTTTAAAATACACAAGCTTATATTGTTATAGTTGTGTAATCATTAGTATTAAAACCATAACATAATAATGTTGAGTTGTTTTGTGTTTATTAGAAATATTAGAATTAATATTATTAGAATGTTATTGTGCTTCTTTATTAGAATTCCCGATACCAAACCTATCAACGGATGTGGAATTACATGCATTCAAAACAGCCCAGTGTGTTTGTTAAGAGCACTGAAGAAGGGATTGCCAGGGTGCTGAACTCAAACTATGCTTTCCTACTGGAGTCCACTATGAATGAGTATTACCGTCAACGCAACTGTAACCTTACTCAGGTTGGAGGACTGCTTGACACAAAGGGCTATGGCATTGGAATGCCTTTAGGTATGTGCAACAGTGGGTTTATGTATATTCCCCAGCTTTCTGAGATTGGAAAGAGGGACCTTTAAGCACAAAATATTTTAGCAAGGCATACAACATTGCCACACATCTCAGACAGAACATGTAGAATCCAAAAGTGCAAAATGACTCATTTAAAATGACACTAAACTTAGGAGTTACACCTTAAAAATGCACCTTAACAAAAATGTAGCTTATTTGTGCATTTCTCAGCTGTAGCTCATAAAATCATCTCTGAATTAGTGCTGACACTGTCCTTCCTTCTGGAGGGTGGCTACTTTTGTTCCAAGTGGTCCCTGTGTGTGCTGAAAAGTAGCCACCTCTCCAAGTGGAAGGACAGTATCAGCACAAATTCAGAGTTGATTTGATAATCTACAGCTGAGTGATCCACAAATAAGATACATTTTTGTTAATAGTTGAGGTACTTGAATACATTTTTAAGGTTTAACTCCTGAGTTTAGTGTCACTTTAACCTGCCCCAGTGATGATCACTTTCAATCTGTTTGTGCTTAGATTGTTGTCTCAGAGCTACAAAATATCTGCACAGGGTGATACTGAGTGTGTAGTCATCACATTCTGATTGCAGTGCTGGAATCTGAGAGTGTAACCATCACAGCAGTCACTGGTTATTAACATGTGATACATACAACTCCTGGAGCCTGCTTAGAGACTACAGGTGGTAGTAAGCAGAGGTTAAATACAGCACTGGCGACCCAGCACAAAAGTATAAAAAAGTGGAGTTTAGTGTCACTTTAAACCTGATGATGTTTTTTTACATCTCTACCTATCATACTTTTTGTACTATCATTTATTTAGATGTTGTATGAAAGATTTACACACTTTAATACTTAAATATTGTACAGATCTACATGTGAGGATAAAAAGGATAGCAGAGGGACTGGAGGATTTGGATCCCAAAGAGGGGCTGTTTCTCCAAAAGAGCAACGGCTGGCAGTCATGGTTTATATACATAGTTCTGTATTATCTTTAAATGGCAGACATTTACAAGAACAGACTCATGCTTGTTTTAACAGATGACATCTCTGGGGGGATTTCCTCTCTCTTGTTTTTTCCAAGACAGGAAGTGAAGGGAAATATCCCCAGCAGGACACAGACAGTGAAAAAATAATTTGATAGGGGGTTTTATCTCTTTGCTACTCTATCTAAAACTAAAATTAAAAAAAGTTTTGGCTTTGCATACAGTTAAAGCCTCATATCTATGTTTACTACAGGCTCTCCTTTCCGAGATGAATTTGATCTAGCAATTTTGCAACTACAAGAAAACAACTGTCTGGAAGACTTAAAGCGAAAATGGTGGGATGGAGGTAAATGTCCAAAAGAAGAAGACCACAGAGCAAAGGGTAACTGTGATTTCAATTTTCACAATTTCCATTTCCTTTTTTTTCTTGATAGCAAATTATGTGTTTTATTTTTGCGAAGTCAAACTTTTCACTTTTGTTAAGCAATGAACGTGAAATGCTTTAATTTAATTCACTCTTTCAGACAAACCAAGCAAACCTCTGCCATTAAGGCATCATTTGTTTTGCTTTAAAAGATAACTATAGCCCCCTTTTCCTCCCTGCACCCATCACCCTTCCTCATAAGAGATATAAGGTAAGAGCTAAGTTATTATAGTGTTTTATAGTCCTACCATTAGAACCAGTGGGGGCCAACTGCCCCCACTCCCTCCTAATGCCATAGATATGCTCCACTACATACCTCAGATGAGTCAGCGACCTCTGCAGCAGAAGCAGCCTACGCCAGGCCACGGTGAACCACACATGAGGGATTTTCTTCATAGAAAGACTCCAAGTAGATAGCTTCTTCACTATGCACTATAGAGAAACAGGCATGTACTGTATACATGGTTTGCTGCAACCCACTGGCTTGCTGAAAAGCACAGGAGTCATCTGCACAGGTGAAGGCCTCAGCTACTGAAAGAGGCTACCAGCTCATTTAGGTTAGGTAGCGGGAAATATCTAAGGGAAGGGGACTGTTGCCCCAACTTGACAAAAAGGTAGAGTTGTACTCCAATTTTTGCTATCTTGCATTGCCTGTATTAACATTAGTCATAAAGTCATAGGATAGCTTGCACATAGTGTTAAAGCTTCCAGTGTAGTGCAGTGTAGCCACCTTACATTTTTAATTATTCTGTTCATCACATAATCAATGCCAGATCATACTGCTATAGTTTTACGTTTACCCCGGTTCACAGAAAATGCAGAAAGATAATGTGCAAACCTAAGAAGCCAGAGCAGAATCACCATACAGTATGTGATGGTTTGTGAAATGTAACCAAAATGTTGGCATACTTTTCTCATTTTGTTAGGTTTGGGCATGGAAAATATCGGAGGCATATTTGTTGTGTTAATCTGTGGTTTAATAGTGGCTAGCTTCATGGCCGTGCTGGAGTTCCTGTGGACGATAAGAAACTCCGAAGACACTCAGGTATGATAATACTGTCTACCCATGCATCTGTTATTCAGAATCTGTTTGTATATACTGTAGTTGAGAGTAAATGCCGTGTGCATTGAGTCACAATATAGAATGAAGGCACCTAGTAACAGAATAATTAGGCATAACAGTTATTTTACTGTATATGCTGTATAAGGCTGTTTGAGTTTGACATTATCTCACTTAATGCTTAAAAGAGAACTAATATCTAACCCTTTTTTGGCTTTAGTCCTCTTTTGGGTCAAAGGAATACATTTACTAATGCACTCCTGTGGCCCAAACTCAGAAAATAGCAGGCTAGTGCTGCCGCTAGTTGCTGACAGCGCATAACCACTCTGCAGCCAGGTAAGAGCCCAACAATTTTGTTAGGATCCATCCAGCTGCCTGATTGACAACTGGCTCTGGCTCTTAAGATGCCTCTCAAGAGCCAGAGCCAGCGGTGTCCTCCCCCTCCCTTGTCTGTTCCTCCAATGAGTGCAGGAGGAACAGAGAGGGGTGGGGGGGAATCCCTGCGGGAAGCCATGACTAACAGTTACCGATCTCTGCAGGGTGAAGACCGTGAGCTGAGCGATTAATGGTTAATGTAGAGATGGCATGTGACAGCTGCAGTGTCACACAATGGCTCAATATATTGGGAAGAGTACTTTTTACTCTCCTAATACTTCTTCTTTAATAAAAAACCCGGCATAGACTGGAAATATTTTTCTAAAGATAAAAGATATTCGTTAAAAAAGCTGAAGCTGTTCATTTTTTCCTGCAGTTTTAATATTTTTTTATTCTGCATTATCAATGTTTTTTGTTCTGCATTACAGCAACATTTTGTGATTGGATTTCAACTTATTTCTAAATATTTGACAAAAAGTATACACAATTCCACCATTTACACTGTATACTGAAAAATAAAGAATTATTTCTAAAAATGTTTTGCTTTCTGTGTTGTTGCAGGTTTCTGTGTGTCACGAAATGATGTCAGAGTTAAGTAGCATTATACTTTGCAAAGACAGTTTTATGCCACGTCGAAGGCGGGCAGGCATTATACGCTCTAGATCAGCTGTTCCGGAGGATAAGAGAGGACGCAATACAAGCATTCTAAGCAATGGTAAACTGTGTGGGGGCAGTGGTCCTGACCCACTGGCACAGAGACTGGCACAAGAAGCAGCTCTAGTTGCCCGTGAATGTACACATATTCGGGTCTGCCCAGAGTGTCGCCGTTTTCAGGGTCTCAGAACGCGCCCACCTGGTGGATCTCCAGCACAAAGTGAAGAAAGTTTGTGGGAAAAGACTACAAATAGCAGTGAGCCCGAGTAAAAGAGCCATGACAGATGATGTAAGGAAAAAAAAAACATCCAGTGCTGTTTTATTTTTGTCTTTTTTTTAAGACCATATAATTATAAAACTATTTTTTTTAAACTAGAATAAAAATCCTGTTATTGGATTACCCATAGTATGAAACAAAATCTCCCACAATGGGTCTACATGTTTCCAGCTGGCATTACAATATTGACATCATAAAAACTAGTATGTTGTTACCCAATTTAGTAGTGGACTGTTGTATTGTTTCCTTGGATTGTGAGGAACATCGTCTTCCTTCAAAGTCTTTCATGCTTTTGAGCATTTATTATTTCAACACCTACAATGTTTGTAGTAATAAAAAGAACATTTTGACAAATATCATGATACAGTCCTGGTAAGAGTAAGGTTGTCCTCCATACATGAACTAGAGACAGTTTTGATGTGTTTCTTGGTTGAGATTCAATGGCTTTTTGTGTGTCTTTGAAGGCTGTGTTATGCCAGAATTCATGTTTTGTATGGAAAAATACATTCCTAATATGAACAATACATCCTGGCCACACAAACCACTCCAAAAATAATGTTCTGACATCTAAACACTCAAGATGGTTATGTAAATATATAGCTTTGCCATAGTGTAACTGAGATGGATACATTTGCAACATCATCATTTATGAAAAGTGACAGTTCTAATGTGCTGCAATGTTTCATGTGCCAACAATACGGTAAAACCAGAGCTCTTGGAATTCTCCCCTTGGACTGATGGAGTGGGGTCATTTTTGGTGTTTTTTTTCTTTATCCATACCATGAACTAAAACTTATGGAATCCACAAATTATGTTTTAGTAAATCTATCCCTTATTGTAAAAAATGTCTTTTTCCAGGAGTCCATATAAAGCTGTATATGAAAGAACTATAAGGATATTTTTTGATGAAAACAACAGTTCTATGCAATTTCTGTAAAATAAAGAGAATCATTCTTAACAGGTGTTTGTGCTTTCTTTAATGTTTACATACTCTCCTTTAACATGTTAAGGAGTTAACTGTCAAACCTTTGTTTAAGGTGTTAGTTGTTGTTTTGAGACTAATAGTAATATGAAAAGTGAAGTAACCAATAGCAATCATTTAAAATATATATTACAAATCTAACTATAGGAAATCAAAATCTCACTGGTTGCTATGGGTTTCTGCCCATCACACAATATTACTGCTCTTTGATGATTTAAAAAGTCAGTTTACTTTCATAAATACAGTAGGCCAGGGCTCAAAATGTCCACACGCCCCCCGCACAATTTGCGAGTGAAAATTGCGTGGGGGCGAGTGGAAATGAAGCCATTGAGTCAGGCACTCAACTCCTGGAGGGACTCCTAGACCTCCTCGGGGCGGCTTCTCTCCTCCTCACCGCTCTCCTCCTCACCGACATGATGACAGCGCTCCCTCGTCCGTCCGTCCGTCCCGGGTCACAGGAGGGAGCGCTACCTGCTGTCAGGATGGC